AGCCTTTTGAAATTCAATAACTTAGAAAAATATTATAAAACATGAAGAAAAATATTGTTGCTGTAACTTCTTCAGACTTCCCACTCGATAATTAAATTTAAAAAAGTAGCAAAAAGTAGCTTTTAAACTAAAAAAAAAGTAGTAAAAAAATAACAATCGAAAAATTAAACTTTACGACCAAAAAAAAAAAATCGTTATATAGACGCTTTACAAAACTGACAAAAATTCCATTATAAATTTTTTATTTTCCGGACTTTTTCCTAATTTTCATCAAAAATATTTACTTCTTTCTTATTCTGCTAATAAATATTGAAGTCCTGCAACGAATTTTATAATTCATGAAAGAATTTAAATATTTATAAAAAAAAGTTAATTCTTGTAAAGAATTTTGTAAAAATTTTTAAATAATTGATTTCTTTAAACTAATGTTATGGAAATTCCAATTTAAATAATTAAATTCCTCAGAATTTCTAAAAAGCATTTTATTATTTAATTGAATTCTTGCGAACGATTTTATAAGAATTTTTTTAAATAATTGAATTTCCAAGATATTAATTTATTACTTTAAAAATTAGTTAAATTCTTGTGATAAATAAATATTGTTATTTGTGAAAATAATTGAATTTTGCAAAGAATTTTATCAAAATTCCTCAAAATAATTGAATTTTCGGAAATAATTTTGTTATTTATCGACATAATTGAATTTTTTCGAAGAATTATTTATGTAAATAATTGAATTCTTGGGAAGAACTTTATTAAAATCTAAAAGAATAATTGAATTATTTCAAGAAAAATTTCATTAAAATTGTATTTAAAATAATTTCGATTTTTAATAATTTCTGAAAAAGTTCTTTAAGAATTTTGAAATTCATTTGTTTACAATTCAATTTTACGTGAAATGATGATTATTTGGAAATTCTTCAATTAAATATACATATTAGAAAAAATTTTTTTTAATAATTTCAAAAAAAAAATTTAATTAAACTTTTTTAAAAACATTAATTCTACAGAATTGTTTGTAAAAAGTTTGAAAGATTCAAATTTTCAAAGATTTTAATTTGAAACCTTTTCAAAATTCAATTATTTTTATAAAATTCACGCTATTATACCTATACTTTTATAGTATTCAATTATTATCTAAAATTTTAAATGAGATTTATTTTTAAATCAATCTTTATTAGGAAATTCTACAAGAATTCAATTATTTAAATAAATAGAAAAATAAATAATTTATTAAATAATTGATTATTTCTTAAAATTAAATTCTCATAAAGAATTTTATCAACAAATTTTTAAATAATTGAATTCTTTTGACGAATTGTAGAATTGAATAAAAAATAATTAAATTCTGGAATAAATTTTATTTATTTATACAAATTTTTATACTTTATGAAAGTAATTAAATGATTGTCTAGAATTTTATCAAAAAATTTTTTTAAATAATTGAATTATTTTGGAAAATTCTTGAAAATAATTGAAAATCTTCCAAGAATATTATTAAAATTTTGCATAAATAATTGATATTCGGAGAAGAGTTTTATTATTTATAGAGATAATTGAAATTTTCAGGAGAATTTTTCTTAAATTTTGAACATAATCTAAAATTTTAACTAAAATTAATTTTTCGCAAATTTTAATTAATCGCAAAAGGTTTTGAAATTTTTTATTTAAAAACTGTACTAAAGTTTGTGTTCTTATAAATAAATTATATTTTTATCTTTATTGAGAATCCACATTTATTTTCAAATTAAAATGTTAAGCTTTTCGTCCATTTTTATCTTTATTTCAACAATTTTTATAGTTCCCTAAAAGTCCCCTATTTTTTAATTTTCAGTCCTCTATTTCCCTTAAAATATTTAAGAAATCCTTAATTGTAAATATATAAAAATGGAATTTCAAAAGACTATGAGTAAAAAATAGGGAGTGATCGCAGGAAAATGTAGAATTGAAAAATGGTGAATAAAAATAGTCGAGATTCGTAAACGATTTATAAGCATACATATATATATAGCTTCTTATAATTCGCAGAAAAATCATTTTCATTTCATTTTTTTTTTTCGTATTTTTATTTCCCGCTACGAAATTAGTTTTCTTTTTCTTTGTTTCGACATGGTGCTGGATAATTTACGAGCTTCGTGATAGAGCTGATAGACGAATCGAGTAATGTTTCATCGTTTAACTTTGCGGAACAAATTTGTTTACCTCTCCCCCTTTCCCCTACCATAATTTCTCTCCAACTCCCTCTCTCTCTCACTCTTTCTGATTCTTTTCATTCGTTCGATGCTCTCATCCAGACTAACTAACGCGTTTTTAACTTTGTTTTTTTTTTCCTTTTGATACCGACTCTCCCCCTTTGTTTACATTACTGATCCCAAACACTTGAATACATTATGAAGGGAGACACTCGTTTTTATCCGCTCCAAATTTGGAGGAAATTGTATAGGACACAAAGTGAGACAAAATTTCTGCACTTGAAATTTAAGAGAAACATTAGAGAACCAAAAATTAATTTTTTAATTTTTTAAAAAATTTGTTGCTTTAGTTTTTTTTTGTTTAAAATCGAGAAAAGTTGTTGATTTTGGTGTTTTTTTTCATCGATCATAAATTTCAAGATTTAAAACTTTCAAAACGGAAGTTTCAACGACACATTGCTAAATTTAGTGTGAATTCATCATTAAAAGATAAAAGAAAAAGGGGAAATTTTCAAAATAGGGTAAGTTTAGGGGCCAAAATTAAAAAAAGGTACTTTTCGGGAAATAGGGGACAGACTGTGAAGCCTACTAGTTTAAAAACCTAAAAAATTATATATTTTATCCATAGACCCACATTCTTTGGTGCTAAACTATTTTTGCCTATGGACATGGTTTGATAGCTTTTAGCAGTGATAAAAGTAAAAGTAAAGTAAAGAGTAAAGTAAATAAATTATTAAAACTTTTATTTAAAAAAAAAACTTTTTTTTTTATTTTATAAAGAGCAAAGTATAGAAAATGATGTTTAAGTGAAGTGAAGGAAACTAAAAGAAAAAAGAATGAAAAGAATTAAATGTGAAATTTATGAAAATGGACAAAAAGTATTATGAAAAATGAGAAAATGGAGGAAAGAGGCAACAAAAGTGGGACAGAAAAAGAATGCTGTGGGAAATGAATATCAAAATAGATGTAGCAAAGCTCTTTGGCAAAAAAAACAAAACGATGTGTAGAATATGGAAAAAAGGCCATAAAGCGAGTTCTTTGGAAAATAAGCAGTAAAAAATCAAATATTAAATTCAGACAAAGACATAAAAAAGGTAGGAAAGAAGGAAAAAGTAAAAAAAGTTTGGAATACATAGTATGAAACCTGAGTTTCAAGAAAAAAGTGTTGTAGGAAAAAAAGTAATGAGTAGGATACAGATTTTATTAAATAGACATAAAAAATATAATGGAAACAAACAACTGAGGAAAGGAGAAAGAAACGTGAAGTGAAAAATAAAAAATGGGACGCAAAGAAAGTTATTGTCAATGAACGTTAAGAGTGGTATACGAATTATGAGTATTTAGACATAAAAAATCCTCGTAGAGAAAAATAGTATATATATATATTTGAAAGTGGGATATAGAAAATAGCACAAACGACATAAAAAATGTCCGCTTGAAAAAAACACTAAAAAGTGAAATGTGAGATCAAGAAAAAGGGACATAAAGAAAAGTTATAAAAGATGAAAGGTGGTGAGAAGAAAAAGAAGTAAAAAGTGGGGTAGATTATGGAAAAATGACCCTAAAATGTCGTAAAAAATAGGGGAGATTAGGTGCAGTTGACACAATTTTGAGAAAATTACTGACTATAATGATTAGAGTTTAAGCTTAATTTATTTGTCCTCATGATTCAATTACTGCAAGATTATTTACTTTTCTTTATTTTATTTTTTGAATTTATTTTTACTCCAAACATGTTATTAAATAAAATAGAAGCATTTGAATGACAACGTGTGTAATTTGTGTCAAATGCCTAAAGTTAGTGTCAGTTGACATTTGATACAATCATCAACCACTTTTAGAAATTGAAGGCGAATAATTTTTTATTATAATTTTTATTGACTAAATAGTCTGAATAGTGCATTTCCTAAATTTAGATTATTTATTAATTAAAATAAAAACAAATAGTTGGGTTTTTTTAATGTGAAAATAGTTATAAATACTCTGAAAACTAAAAACTAGGGGAACATAGTCAGGGTTGAACCGCACCTTTTGATCTTTGTTTGCAACATTTTTTAAAAAATAAATTCAGACAAACTAAGTTATGTTTAAAAAATCTGCAAAAGAGGAACACTTTTGTTGAACATCGTCAATTGATTGGTCTAAAATTATAAAAGTTATAAACATTTCAAAAAAAAAGTCGTAGTCAAGGTTGGACCATGTCTGAAAATTGAAGCACTTATTATTCAAATTCAGCAACCTCAAGAATCTTCATTGATAACGAAATTAAATTTTTTTAAAGAAAATTTTTCTAAAGACCGTTTTTGAAAAAAACGATTTTTTCACAAACGTGCAAAGGGATTAAAGATGAATATGAAAAATAGGAGAAAAAATAGTGCAGGAGTAAAGCTTAAAAAAAGTTAAAAGTATGTTGCAAAGTGCAGAAAATAAGTCATTAAAAGTGTTTCTTAAAATGATCAATTAATACTGAATTGTAAGTTCCATGAAGTGGGACAAAAACACCTGTGAAAATAAGCAGTTAAAAATACAAAGGGACATGTAGAAAATAGAGAAAAAAAATAGTAGCACAAGAGATAAGAAAGCAAAAATATTTAATGGTTGGGAATGAAAAAAAATTGTGTAACATGACAAAAAAACATGAATACCCTAAAATAAAATTCGACTGAATGATTTATTTAAAATGTAAGATACTTGAGTTACACATAAGAGGTTAAAAAAATGCCATTAGCAGTGCAATGAGTATAGTGGAGAATTTTCTTATTATTATTATTATTAATTTTTTTATGAGACCGCAGAAAAAGGTGTTACCTGTGAGTGTGGAGTTGTTAATGGTGTTGTTTGCCGTGGAAATGGCCGATTGGCTGGTGACAGGTGTACCAACGGTGGTGGCTGTGGTTGTCGAGGAGTTATTTGGCGAGAGGGCCGCGGTGGCAGCCTGAGCCTGTGCCTGAGCCTGCTGCTGATGAAGATTATAATTCCACGCGAGCAGCATCAACTTCAGCTTATCCGCGTCTTTCATGAGCGCGCCTGCCGGAATTAAAAATGCCAATTCGATTTTTAATATATATTTTTTTTTCAAATTTCCTAAATATTATAGCAATTAACCCTTTCGTGCCTCCGGGACATTTTATGTCCCACTTAGAAAAATTTATGTTATTCTTATAAAAGTCAACCAATTAATTTGCGGTAAATTTCTTTCTATTCCGAGTGTCCGCTGCTACAATTAAAAAAAATTGATAAATTACGTAGTACGATTATAATTATTATAAACAGTAGGTAAAATATTTATAAGAAAATAGCGAAATCTAATTTTATGTCCCACTTAGAAAAATTTATGGTATTCTTATAAAAGTCAACCAATTAATTTGCGGTAAATTTCTTTCTATTCCGAATGTCCGCTGCTATAATTAAAAAAATAATAAATTACGTAGTACGATTATAATTATTATGAACAATTAGGTGAAATATTTATAAGAAAATAGCGAAATCTAATTTTTCAAAATATCCTCAAATTCGCTTAAAACTTTATTCGTATTCAGGGGTTTTCGGGGTCCGGTCACTGATTACGAATCTAAAGTCAGATTTTTAAAATTCAAAATGGTGGACATTTTTTTCAAATCTGATCAAATTCACTTGAAACTTGTTATTCGTGGGTTTGTAGGGTCACAATTTTGAATTTTTTAAATCTGACCCCCGAGTAACAAGTTTTATGTAAATTTGAGCAATTTTGAAAAAATGTCCGCCATATTGGATCCGCCATTTTGAATTTTCAAAATTTTGAAAATCTGACTTTAGATTCGTTATCAGCGACCCCAAAAACCCCTGAGTACCTAACAATTATTATCAACAAAATCCAATCGCTGGGTTTCTCAGGGTCACGAAAGTGTTAACAAAAAAAAGTTTTTTTTTGTTTCTAAAATTTCTAATTTTTTTTTTCGTTTTCCGGTGAAAGAGGCCAAAGGTCAAAGCGACAAAAAATTATAGGTTATGTTTAGAACAGATTCATTTTTATTCACCGGAAGTCAATAACAAATTAAATTAAAATAAAATCGTATTTAAAAATAAAAAAATCAATCTTAAAAATCGAAATTATTTATAAAATTAAAAAATTCGTTTAAAAATTATTTAAAAATTAATTTATATGTAAAATTAAAAAAAACTAAACGAAATTTATTTCCTAGTGCAAAAAATCTTATTTTTATTATAACGGATTAACGGAAAATTTTTTTGAAAAAAGGGAAAAAACATAAAATTTATCAAAAAAATTTTGATTGCAGGCAAGCTTATTAAGTTTTCTACTGGATTTCTTAAAAATTTCCTGATGTGAAATTCGATTTAATATTCGAAGTGTAACTCACGTTAGTTATGATATAGTGGAGATGGTGGTGGGGGTTTGGAGAAATTTGGATATTATTACAACAGCACACACGATATCACAAATGCAAACGGATCTCAAAACCAAATTAGTGAAATCATTCGAACGTCAACGTGAATTTCAAGCCGCTATATGCTCATGTTATAATTGCCATAAATTAATCCGCGACTCATTTGGCCACGGGACAACGAACTTGATTAAAAGTCTCGTGTATTTATCGCCACATACATTTGAATATGGCTATTTTTACAAAACGAGAAACAATTAATGAGCGTGAAATGAGCGTTTAATACGGTGGAAAGAAATTTTTTTATTTTTATTCTTCATTCCCCCAGTGAAAAGTTTTTCAATTTTTTATAAGCTATAATCTACTTTACAAAAAAAAAATAAAAAATTTCCATTTTCAAAATTATGAATATTGAACTTTTTAAATTCGAAAATTTCGTTCCGGATATAATTTGAATTTTTTTTTCTGAATTCTCTATTTTTGCCTGAATTAAAAAGAAAAAGTATAATTGCGGAGACTTTAAAAATAGTCGACGAGATATTGAATTCTTTGTCCCGTGGCGCACACTTTTTTAACTTAGGTGAACGCGCCTGAGGTCAGTGTCATGCGATAAAATCGTTCAAAATTCATTTTTTTTAATGCACCCACGATATTTCTTTTCAAGTCATCAGTAGCAAATATGGAACTTTATGATATTTTGTTTTTAGAAAATTTTATTAAGGTAGTAATTTTTTACAAGGCCGAAAAAATTCCCAAAATTATAAAAATAATGCAAATTAGGTCTAAAAATGTTTTTTACAATTTTAATATTTATATGGATTTAATATTTCAAATAAAAGTAAATAAATAATAAATAATAGTAAAAATAAATAAAATATAAAACACAAATTTTTTATGTTTCCTACAAAGTCTTGAATCTAAGTTTTATTTTTAGAACTGTTTTGATAAAGAAATATTGTAGGCAAATTTAAAAAAAATATATTTTTAGCGATTTAATAGTATTATTTACTCGGCGCGACTTCTTATCCCATATAGATGATTTACTAGAATATTTGCGAGATATTATTTTATTTCTCAAAACATCACTTTAGTATAATTTTAGCTCTAAAAAATAATTGTAAGACAGAATGCTTATAGGTAAATAATGTCTTATTAAGTAATGAATCATTAATAAAATTTTAAGTAAAAATACTTTTTAAACAACATAAGTCTTAATTGAAAGAATTTTTTAGAATAAGAATAATAATTAAACAAAAATATCTTTAAAACTAAAATAGATTTGAACGATATTTTATAGAAAAAGATTACAATTTGTAAAAAAATTTGTTAAGCAAATATTTAAAGTCTCAAATTCTTTGTTTAATAGAATATTTATGTGCCAATCTTTCAATTTTCAAAAAATCTTATTTATTGGAATATATGTTTAAATAAACTATTATTAATACAATGTATTTAGAAAAAATGATATATGAAAAAATGTATAATTTAATTAACTCTTGTATGACAAAAATTTTTCTTAGGCAAATGGTAATTTTATAGAATGTTAATTAAAAAGAATATTAATTTACAAGAAATGAAAGTGAAACGAATTCTAATTTAATAGAATACTTAAATGTCTGAATTATAATTTGGCAGCATGTCAATTCGATCGATTTTATATTTGTAAGAAATTCAATTTGACATAACATCAATTTATAAGAAACACTTTTTCGTAGAATTTTAATTTATCAGAATTGTAATTTTGTAGAATATTAATATTGCCAAATCTAATTTTAGTAGAAATCTGCTTTATCAGAATGATCAAATGTTCGAATCCCCAAAATTTCTAATTTCATTTCTACCCAAAATCAATGTGACATAAATATTTGGCGCAAATTTTAAAAATTTAATTTCTGATTGGTCAATTTTTAAATTTGCGCCAAATATTTATGTCACATTGATTGTAGGTAAAAATGAAATTAGAAATTTTGAAGATTCGAACATTTGATCATTCTGATAAAGCAGATTTCTACTAAAATTAGATTTGTCAATATTAATATTCTACAAAATTACAATTCTGATAAATTAAAATTCTACGAAAAAGTGTTTTTTATAAATTGATGTTATGTCAAATTGAATTTCTTACAAATATAAAATCGATCGAATTGACATGCTGCCAAATTATAATTCAGACATTTAAGTATTCTATTAAATTAGAATTCGTTTCACTTTCATTTCTTGTAAATTAATATTCTTTTTAATTAACATTCTATAAAATTACCATTTGCCTAAGAAAAATTTTTGTCATACAAGAGTTAATTAAATTATACATTTTTTCATATATCATTTTTTCTAAATAATACATTGTATTAATAAAAGTTTATTTAAACATATATTCCAATAAATAAGATTTTTTGAAAATTAAAAGATTGGCACATAAATATTCTATTAAACAAAGAATTTGAGACTTTAAATATTTGCTTAACAAATTTTTTTACAAATTGTAATCTTTTTCTATAAAATATCGTTCAAATCTATTTTAGTTTTAAAGATATTTTTGTTTAATTATTATTCTTATTCTAAAAAATTCTTTCAATTAAGACTTATGTTGTTTAAAAAGTATTTTTACTTAAAATTTTATTAATGATTCATTACTTAATAAGACATTATTTACCTATAAGCATTCTGTCTTACAATTATTTTTTAGAGCTAAAATTATACTAAAGTGATGTTTTGAGAAATAAAATAATATCTCGCAAATATTCTAGTAAATCATCTATATGGGATAAGAAGTCGCGCCATTTACTCAAATGTATTTGGTTATCGTAAAATGAGCCTTAAACTTTGATGACCGGTAAAACCTACAATTTTGAAAGTATACAAATTTTTTTTTCTAAAACATTTTCTAGTATAAAATTATATTTGCACCATTTATAAAATTTAAAAAATTTAAAGATCACTACCCCTTTGATTTTTTTCAGAGCAATTTGATCCACTTATAAAATAATTTATTCACTTTTAATTTTTCGAACTGTTATTTTTTTAAATGAGAACCAGAACACTAGAATTTTTACATTACTATCAAAAAAAAATATTTTAAGTTTTTGTATATCAATTATTATTGTTCCCCAAAAAATACAAAAGAAAATCCATTAAGAAGGCTCGAAACTATTTTTTTAAGTGTTTTAAACTTTGATGCCCGGTAAAACCCACAATTTAAAAATTTTTCTACTTTTTTCCCAAAATTTTCCCTTATACGTAACATTACATTCGCACCAGGTTTCGAAAAAATTGAAAGGAACTATGATTTTTTTTCCAAGAAATTTGACTGTAAATTCGTTATAATCATTATAATTCATAAATCAATGAATGTTGAAAAAATATTCTGCACTCATTTACAGCTCAATTATGCAAAAGTAGCATCAAACCTTATCGATTCAACAAATGATTCATAATCCTAAAAATTATGCAGCAAGTATGAATAGATTGAAGTTCAAGTGAATAGATTTCATTTAATAAAAAATTAATACATTTTCATTTAAAAAATTATTATCAAAATATTAAGAGAATTAATATTTAAAAAATATATTTTAATTATAAGCTAATGCAATAAAATCTGTAGAATTTTTTTTCTTGTTTTTTGGCGTTTTAAGAGTTGAAAAATTTGTGTTCCCTTCTCTCGATACGGCTAAATTTTTTGTTCTAGTCTCAGTGGATCATAATCATCTAAAGTATAATACAATAAAATTTTGGGTATCAAGAAAAAGTTAAGAATTTTAAATTCTTTTCGAGTTTTTCTTCTTTTTTTGTATTTTAAGGGTTGAAAAACTCGCGTTCCCCAATGGCGATGGGGCCAGTATTTTTTTTCTAATCTAAGTGAATCATAATCATCCAAAATATGCAATAAAATTTTGGGCATCGAGAAAAAGGAGAGAATTTAGAATTTTTTTCGATTTTTTCTTCTTTTGTTTAGTATTTTGAGGAATGAAAAACTCTTGTTCCCCTATCGCTATGGGGCTGGTATTTTTTTTCTTATCTTTCTGGATCATAATCTTTGTAAAACAGTAATAAAATTTTGGGTATCGAGAAAATTTTGTAACTTTGGAATTTTTTTTCAATATTTTTTTGATTTTTGGCATTTTAAGGGTTCAAAAATTTATATTCCCCTATCTCGATAGAGCTTATATTTTTTTCTAGCATTTATATATTATAATCTTTGAAAAACTGTAAAAAAATTTTGCGTATCGAGAAAATTTCTAGTCTTTGGAATATTTTTTCTTTTTTTTTTACTATTTTTTTGGGGTTGAAAAGTCTACAACTTATAGCACGAGGGGTTGAGAAGTAATTTTTTGTAATTATTTTGAATATTCTTAGTTTTCTATAATTTTGTGGCTTTTTCCGCCTTATTTTAATGACGTGCAATGTTATTTGATGAGAACTAAATTTTCGACGCTGAGCGTCGAAGCCAACTTCATGGAGATTATTATTATAAAATACTCCGTGAAAATATTACCAGATACTAGTACTTTGAAATACAAATACTTCTATTTTAAATTTTGCAACTTTGCGAAAATGGGGGGGGGGGCCACTTCAGGAATTTTTACTCTATAGACAAAATTAGGCGGTATGTGAAAAATTTGTTGAATTTTGTCTATTTCAACTATTAGGTAACGGTTCTTTAGTTAAAAAAAATCAACCATTCATATTTTTTTTATTTCTTTTTTTGATAGAATAAAAAGGAATTTCGAAATAATCGCGCTAAATTATATAGAATTATATTGGGAAAGAAGTTGTGGATAAATATATATATATATATTCAACAGTCATGTTTCTCTCAGTTTACAACGAGTCTACGTGCATGTGTCAAGTGTGACTGCTTTATGTCAGTGTCGTGCAATCGAAGGAGAGACGAGAGTATCTCGAACGTGAAGCGGAGTGGCTCTATACGTCCGTTAGTTGTCGAGTGGACTGAGGTCAGAAAAGTGGCGCGTCGATGTCGTAACGCGTCTACGGCCTCGTATATAAGTAACGATTCGCGACTTGGACTATCGCTAATTTCATCGATAATTCAAAGCGAAGAACAAGTAACCCGCCAATCCATGCGATGAGAGTAGTAGAGGGCTTTCGGTAAAAAGAGAGAAGAAAAAAGAAAGAGAGAGAGAGAGAGAGAGAGAAAGGCGAAAGAAATCAATAAATCAAAGCAGAGAGATTAAAAACTAATGACAATCTAATTATAAAATGATCATTAATTAATTAAACCCCGTTTTTCTTCTTTTTAATTATTATAAGTTCCTATTCATTATTTTCAATTATTTTCTATCACCTGCTTCAACGGGCAGGTCAATTTATTCATTTTAATAATATAATTAGCCGTCCAATTATAACCATCATCATCATCATCATCATCATCATTAAATGACGCAAAACGCTTTAATAATAAAATATCAAAACTGTTTTCAATTTATTAATTAATTTCGAATGAAATAATACTCACTCGAATAGTGATCATCCTCCGATATGTCTGAAGGTTCTGGGGTTGAAATATTTTCCTGAAACACAATAAAAAAGTCAAATGTTAATTATGGAAATTATTTTCTTATCTTGACAGCAAGAATTCCCTTACCACCTCAACATATAATATTTGTATTTTTTTCATAACAAAGTAGACTCACCTAATTTATAAATAGAATAATCGCAAAATACATATTTTACAAAAGACAAAATTCATTTATTTACTACTTTTTTCAATATAATAATTGAAATGTGTAATTTTATAGAAAAATAGCTGGAAAATGAGGATTTAAAAAAATCAGGCGTCAAATAAATGGTAAGTTTGTAAAATGTTTACATCAATAGTCTAGTGATCGACGATAAGGGAATAAATGGTTAGGTTTATTATTTTTAACTAGGCGGTAAGTGAAACAAAATATATTTTCTTAATATACTTCAAAGGCGGAATGAAAAATTATACATATCAATTATTTACCAGGTATTATTATTGAGTAAAAACAAAATTATAAAAGAAGTTATTAAGTTTATTAAATAAATTTATTAAAAAAAATTCGATTCTTCTCTCTAAATTTGAATTATAGTAGAAATTTTTACTAATAAATAGTAATTTCTATACTAATTTTTAGTAAAATTTACTAAATCAATGGCAACCCTGATTATGTAAATTACCAAATTTTTTATTTTCAAATATCAAATTCAATTTTTGAATAATTTCAGATAAAAAATTTTTAAAAATTCAACTTTAATAAAATTCTTCGCAGGAGATTCAATTATTTTCAACGACAACTTTAATTAAATTCGTCAAAAGTATTTAATTATTTTTTTAGAAATTTTCCAGAAAATTCTTCAAAACAATTAAATTATTTTCAAAAATTTTAATAAAATTTTAAACTAAAATTAAATTATTTCAGATTTAAAATTGTAAAAAGTTACAAAAATACAAAAAGTAATATATAAAAATTAATATAAAATTTTATTAAAAATGTTATATTTTAAAATAGTTAAAATTCTACCTATAAAATAGTGAAAAATAAATAAATTAATAAATTTTCTTGGCAATAATATTATCTTATCACAAAACTTATTCTCTAAAATTGAATTATTAAAAATTATAACTAATTAGAAAAAAAGTGATACGAAATTTATAAAAATTAGTTTTTAAAGTCTATCAGTAGAACGAGATATTAAAATAAATAAAATTCTATTTTTCTTAGAAAATATAAATTTAAAAAAAACCGCATTTTGCATTAATATCAATTCGTTTTTCTACAATAATTTATAAGTAAATGTTTATATTTTAGAATGTTAATTACTAATAATATTATTATTGATTAAATTTCAAAAAGTATCAAAATAAAGTTTTAAAAAAGTTCAATTTTTTTTAATAGTGTAAATTTCCTTCCGAAAGTTATTTTATAGTGTGTGTTAACTTATATTTATTATTTTTAATTGGTGTATTGTTTTAATTAGCCTGAAGAGGATGACAAACCCACGTCATCGAAAGGTTGATGTTTTTTAAATAAACAAAAAATTTGACATAAATTTTATGTTCTTATTTTTACCTTCTATAGATCAAATTCTTGTAATTCATTAAAAGTTCAATTTTATAAAAAATTTTAATTAAAAATTCTGAATAAGTTAGTTTTTTAAACATTTTAATCAAATTCTTTTAAAATTAGTTCTATTTTTAAATGTATGTATATATTTAAATGAAAAATTAATAAATAAGGGTATTTTGGAAATATTTTTGTTTTAGGTGAACTTTTTTTGAAATAATTGAATTTTTAAGGAACTTTAAAAAAAATATTATTAAAAATAATTTAAATAGAGAAGAATTTTAGTTAACAGGATAATTTTTTTGGATAATTTACAGTAACAATTCTTTATAAATTATTGAATTTCGAAGGATTTGAAATCTGAAATTTTTAAAAATCTCAATTCCTGTGGAAAAAAACGGATACCCCTTTTTGCTTAAAACTTGTTACTCGGGGGTTTTCGGGGTCACTGATTACGAATTTGAAGTCATTTTAAAAAAAAAATCAAAATGGCGGATCCAATATGGCGGACAAAATTCAAATTTGATCAGATTAGGGTCGCTGATTACGAATCTAAAGTCAGATTTTCAAAATTCAAAATGGCGGATCAAATATGGCGGAAGAGTTTTAAAATTTGATCAAATTCGCTTAAAACTTGTTACTCGGGGGTTTTTATGATCGCTGATTACGAATCTGAAGTCACATTTAAAAAATTCTAGCTTCATACTGTTATATAATGTAAATAATTTTTTATTATTATTAGAAGCTTTAAGTCAATTGGATCAAAATTAGAATTTTTTCAGCCATATTAGGTCCGCCATTTTGATTTTTTTTTAAAAATGACTTCAGATTCGTAATCAGCGACCCCAAAAACTTTTTTAAATTCTCACAGTAGTATAGCTTATTTGACTAATTGTAAAAACATAATTTTTTTCCTGTGAGAAAAGTATGAATGATGATCATAATAATTGATTATGAAAAAATTATTTCCTTTCATGCAAAGAATTTCCCACGTTTGATTGAATTATACTTGGAGAGGGTGTTTTTTAAAAAAATTTTCTCGGACTTGTAGAGGAAAAAAAAAATTAACGGGTTTCCCGTTTGAAAATAACGAATGGCAATTTCGCAAGGAGTAAAACCGCGCGCTTGGTTGTATGGGCGCAGCCTCTCCTCTATATCTGTGTCAGGTCTGATGTGTTGCAACAGCAGAAGGTCGACCGGTATCCACCGTGTACGGAGCAACGTCGATTGATACAGACCCACTTCGCTTTGACATTCGCCTGCCTTTTTCAATCTTCTGTACCTATGTATACATAACCATTTTGCAGAAAAGTCACATGGAAAAAGTCATTTCAAAAGGGTAAAAATTACAAACTCACCAATTTTTTTTTTTTTTTTTTTTTTTGAAAGAAAATAACAAATGGAATGAAATCAAGATCTACTTGGAAAAAAAGGAAAAAATATTTCCTAAGGGATAAATTTCCGGTGTATAAGCAAGCGAGACAGGAAACAAGGTCTTTTTTTTGTTGTTTAATAATCGGTGGAATTTATCGACTGAATTGTTCAGTGAACCTTTCTGAAACAGATTTATCTGCGAGCCATCGCAAAACGTTATTTTAAGAATCTTTCATTAAGTATTTAATATAACCTGATTTTCCTGTCCGAGAGAAAGGGAGAATTTGAGCTTTTGCATGGATATAGTTATTTCAATGATAAGGAATGAAAATTAATGCATAAAAATTGTATCACGGGAATTGCTGATATTAAAGTAAAAATAGTTTTCTTTTTTGAAAAAAAATTTTTATTTTTGTTAACCATTGGAAATAGCAAGAATTTCTCTTCCGATTGATGTTCTCTCTTTCTCATTCACCTACGCACAAGCCGCCCTACTTCCGGCGGATGTTCCCTGATAAATGGGAATCTGACTGGCTTGCTTGGATAGTTAGCCACACACCTACAGTGTGCATACGGGCAAAAAGGTACACTCCCAACAGACAATTAACAAAATACGAAACTGAGTTAATTGATTTTTCCTTCAATAAATAATTTTATCATACTTTTTATTAGTTTTTCTTCGTCCTTTCACACTTTTTTCCTTCATCGTTTAACTAATCGAAAGAAAAGACGTCGACTTCTACCTTTGACTATTTTGTCCAAAATCAAAAAATATTTAATACTTTTTTTTATTTTTACAACCTGAAGTTTTTTTTTAAATTTCAGCTTCAAGCGAATCCGCTGAATTTAAAAAGAATCTCCGCCATATTGGATCCACCATTTTAAGTTTTGCAACTCAGACTTTATATTGGATAAATAGCGACCTGTCGCTAAAGGATAAGGAACCCAGAGTCTTTCAAGAAAAGTTGTTCATTCACTTAACACAATGTTCTTTATCCTAACCTTGCCATTTAAGCATGCTCGATAAGGTCGCTATAAATTTATACAAGTTTTTACGCTGCAAGTTTATGAATAATTTCTAATTCTTAAAATTTTATGAAAATTTCTATAAAACAAATTTTTTGAAAATGTAATAAAAATTAAAAATCAATAATTCCAGTATTTAAAATTACTACGAATTCTAAAAAAAACTTAAATTTTTTCTATTTCTGACAATAATTTATTTTAAATAAATAATTCTATTGAAGAACTGGGCCATACAGTTATTACTTATTAATCTTTTAATGAAGTATTTTTTCGAAAAATTTTAATTTCAATTCTGTTAAAATTAATTTTAATTATAAAAATTTTAACGCAATTCTTTGAAGGAATTCAACTATCTATTAAAATTCCAGAAATTCAATTATTTTCAAAAATTAAAAAAAAATTCTCATCAACATTTCAATTATCTTTGTAATGAACAGCAAAATTCTTCGACAAAATTCAATAATTTTCAAGAATTTTAATACAATTCATTGCAAAATTCAATTATTTTCATGAATAATAGTAAAGTATTAATCACAAGAATTCAATTATTTTCAAACGTAATAAAATTCAATTACTTTTAAAAATTTTAATCAAATTCATGTCAAAAGTTTAATTATTTTCAAAATTTTTTCTTAATTCAATGGTTTTTATTTTAATATTATACTATTCTAATAAAAATTCCCAAAAGAATCCAATTATTAAACAAAAATTTTGATAAAATTCTACACAAACATTCAATTCTCTTCATAGAAAATGAAAATTTCACATAAATTATTCTATTATTTAAAATAGAATTTACATAAAGTTTTTCGAAAAAATCAAATGTTTTAAAATTTGGCATCAATTTCTTCGCAGTAATTCAATTATTTTCATAAATTTAAAAATTCTTTTCAGGAATTTAATTACTTTCATAAATAATAAAATCATTCCGAGAAAGTCAATTATTTTCATAAATAACACAAGAATTTAATTATTTTCAAAAGTAATAAAATTCAATTATTTTCAAAAATTTTAATAAAATTCATTGCCAAATTTCAATTATTTTCAAAAATGTTTCTTAATTCATTGTATATCTATTATTT